TTGGTGCCTGTCCTGGATCTCACTCTGTAGACCAGGCTGGCCTCAAACTCACAGAGATCCGCCTGGCTCTGCCTCCTGAGTGCTGGGATTAAAGGTGTGTGCCATTGCTGCTCAGCAGGTGAAAAATTTTAAACAGGAATGATGTGAGAATTAGGGATATAAGTTGAAATTGATGGGTGATGTTGCTCTGTATGCTGTGAATGTGTTGCTTCGATTGGTTGATAAATAAAATGCCAGGAGAATTCTGAGAAGAGGAAGGGTGAGTCAGGAGTCACCACCCAGACACAGAGGAAGCAAGATGTGAAGGCAGAACTGAGAAAAGGTACCAAGCCACATGGCTAAACATAAATAAGAATTATGGGTTAATTTAAGTGTAAGAGCTAGTCAGTAATAAGCCTGAGCTAATGGCCATACACTTCATAAATAATATAAGCCTCTGTGTGTTTACTTGGGTCGGAGCTGCTGCAGGACCGGTGGGTGAGAGAGATTTGCCCTGACCTTGGGCCAGGCAGGATACAGGAAAACTTCAGCTACAAAATGGGAGTGCAGGAATGGAGGAAGGATTAACCAGGATTAAAAAGTATAAATGAAGCCACATGGAAGTCAGCTGCCTTGTATCTAAGCAGAAAACACAAAAAGGAAAACCTAGGAATAAAACCAATAAAAATACCTTCATCATTCAACATATGAAACATTTTCTTTACTATGATAATGTAATGTAATTTGATTGTTCCCATTTTCCCAGAACCAGGAACACACTGAATGATTGAGATAGTCAGTCTGATTGTCTCCAAAGGGGACCCTACTTGGGTCCAAACTGTCAAAAATTCTGCCAGGTCTCCAGGGGTCAAGTCTAAAGATGGCAAAAACTATTGCTGGACCAAGATGGACCATGTCTCATGAGTACACATCTTCCCATACAACTGTCTCCCAAGTCTTACTTCATATCCAGTGCTAAGGTGAGTGGATGCTGGTCCCTGTGATGGAATCTTAGGAGGACCCTCTTTCACTTGATAAACTGGCACACTCAAGGATGTGTCCAAATCCATAGCCTGTGAGCCAATCATCCTAATACTTGCTTGTATGGAAACATAGCTGAACTCACAGTGCTTCATTAACTGGTTAATAAATGATTCATGTTAATGAATGCTTGTTAACTAAGAAGTCAGCTTTCAACTTCGCATTTTTCCTTTTCCATGTGTGTATATGAGGTGTGCATGTATGTGGGCATGGGAGTGTGGTGGGGTGCACAGGAACTTGTGGATGGGTGTGTGTGGAGGCCCAAGGTTGATGTTTAGAATCATTTTCAATCACTCTTCTACCTTATTCTTTTAAAATCTTTGGTGTGTGTGTGTGTGTGTGTGTGTGTGTGTGTGTGTGTGTGTGTGTGTGTATGTGCCCACGCGCACGCTGTGGCTCAGTTACCATTGTGTGGGTCCCAGAAATTTAGCCTAACTCTTCAGGCTTGGCACCAAGTGCCTCTACCCAGTGAACAACCTCACCAGTTCCCACCTATTCTTCTTGAGACAGGGTCTCTCAATCAAACACAGTTCACTGGCATGACTTATCTTGGTAACCAGCATGCTCTGGAGATCTGTCTCCACCTTCTAAGGGAGGAATTACAGGCAGTCTTCTCACTTGCCTGGCGTTTACGTGGTATATTAGTCAGGGTTCTCTATAGTCATAGAACTTTTGGAATGAATCTCTCTCCATATATATAAAGGGAATTTATTGGAATGACTTCCAGGCTGCAGTCTAGCTAATCTAACAATGGCTAGTGGTGAATGGAAAGTCCAAGAATCTAGTAGCTGCTCAGTCCCCTGAGGCTGCGTGTCTCAGCTGGTCTTTGGTATATGCTGGAATCCTGGAGAAGTAGACTTCTGTAGCGGGGTCCTTTGCTGTTGTTCCCTTTGGGGGCGGGGGCCAAGTAAGCACAGAGTCAAACCACACAGACCCCGTGAGAATGTCGAAACAACAAGCTCAGTTTATTCAGGAAAAGGCAAGCCTTATATACCCTCTACCCCACCCTGGGGAGAGGTCTGATGAATATGCATCAGCTGGTATGACATGGCTGACTCTCATTGGTCCAGTTCATCTCTAGAGCATGTTTCAGCTGCTGTTGCTAAGACCATCAGGCAGACCCAGGTTGGCTCTCAGAAAGTATCTTTTTCACTTGTTTGGGCCCTCTGGCCCTCAAGCCCATTGGGGAAGAGTCATCCCATAGACTTCAATGCCAGTGAAGGGATGGATGTGCTGGCAAGGTGAGGGCAAGCAGGCAAAGAAGAAGCAAGCTTTTCTTCTTCCATTGTCCTTATATAGGCTTCTGGCAGAAGGTGTGGCCCGGATTAAAAGTGTATCTATCGGTGGCCATGTCGGAGGAGTAGCAGATGGCAATTGACTTCAGGGGATCGCCCACCAGCATGCAAGGCACTGATGGATGAATCTTGGATAGGCAAGGTCCCAAGAGCCCCGGTCCCAGAATGTTTCTTGCTACTGCTGTGTCTTTACATGTCTGTCACTGCCATTTTTCTCTGGTATCTGGTACGGTGTGAATGGGTGTGGAGAGATCCCCACTGCCCTTGATGTAGTATGATCATCTCTTGGAAATGTCCTGTTTTACTGGGCATTTTTACCTGTGGATTATTATGAAGATGATTTCCTCCTAAGCTGTACTGTTTAACTGAAGCAATGATTTTATACAACAATAGTGTTAGTTTAGATGGGATTTTGATGATTGAGGGTTTTTAATAAATATAGTAAGATTATGGTAGAGGTTATTTTAGTGGAAAAATTAACATTGGTAAAGGTAGGATAAAATGCTGCCTCTGTCTCTGATAGAGCAGGGGCTGCAGAGGCTAAAAAATAAAAGAACAAAGTGTCACACCACTAGACCATGTGAGTTTCTATTGAAGAAGCCAAATAGACTGTGACTTAGGCTAGTGATTAAGAAAAACAATCGAGTCCCGGTAGCCCAGCTAGTTTAAATTCCTTTATCTTAATGTTGGGAAATGTGTTCACAGGTTTCTTAGTCTATCACAGCTGAAACAAAGCTTTGAAAATAACAAGTTAGACTAAGATGTTTTTGTGTGAAAAACCCAAGAGGACAATCTAAACTTTTAGAAAGGCACATGGTTGAGTGAGGGACTCCTTAAGGTCAGGAAACAAGAACCAAGCCACCCAATTATTATTAGCTGATGGGCCTTCCTTGCTAGGATGAGTAGTTGACCAAAGGTGATGATTAATTCCTTGTCCCCATTTCTCCCCTCAGCTTCCTGATATAAACAACTGTTGATGAATGGGTATGTACCCTGAAGACTTAAAATAGAGCTGATTGATTCTTGTTCATATCATATAAAAGTTTAGATTCTTCTGAGATTACCTTCTGAGATGAATAATAAAGTGATTGTTCCTTTCTTTCTAACTGTAATATGCAGACTGCCAGTAGAACTAGCTTGAAAAATACTTTTGCTCACTATCTCCTAATCTATAACGAGTTGTTTGGATATGAATGTATGTGGGTTTTTGGGACAACCTGTTTTTCACCTGTAATACATAAAATGTTTAATCATGTTGGGGGAATGGAAACATTTTTTTCTTTTCTTTTTCTTTATTTTTTGGTTTTTCAAGACAGGGTTTCTCCATGTAGTTTTGGTACCTGTCCTGGATCTTGCTCTGTAGACCAGGCTGGCCTCGAACTCACAGAGATCTGCCTGGCTCTGCCTCTTGACTGCTGGGATTAAAGGTGTGCACCACCGCTGTGCAGTGGAAACATGTTTTTTTTTTTTGGTTTTTTCAAGACAGGGTTTCTCTGCGTAGCTTTGCGCCTTTCCTGGAACTCACTTGGTAGCCCAGGCTGGCCTCGAACTCGCAGAGATCCGCCTGCCTCTGCCTCCCGAGTGCTGGGATTAAAGGCGTGCGCCACCACCGCCCGGCTGGAAACATGTTTTTTTAAAACCTGTATTCATTGTAATCATTCAGTGAAAAATAGAGCATAACCACATTGTGATTTTTATATTGCTTGAAAGATTTTGGTGGGGTAGATAAGCTGCAAGAGGAAAAAATTAAGTAAGTTAGAAGGAAAACATCAAGAATGAGAGAAGAAAAACACCAGGAAAGATGCAGAAGAAGAATAAAGAAAAAGTCAGAAGAAAACTATCAAGAGAATGTGTGTGTGTTTTCCTTACTCCCTCAGATAAAAAGCCTAGTATGCAGACTCCATGGATTCCCTGCCCTGCTGTGCTGGAGGCTGGTCCTCATGGCAGCAGTATGTGCCTTCCCACCTCAAAATCCAGATCAAAGGCAGATTGTCTTCCTGCCTCAAGATCCAGATCATAAGTGTGCTCTTCTTTTCTGGATTGTATTCCAGGTATAGTCAAGTTGACAACCAAGGACAGCCATCACATGTGGGTTTCTGAGGATCCAAACTCCAATCTCCATTTTTCTATGCAGCAAACATTTGAAGCAGTGGTTCTCAATTTTCCCAATGCTCAGGCCTTTTAATACAGTTCCTATGTTGTGGTGATCCCCACCCACTAGATTAGTTTCACTGCTACTTCATAACTATAATTTTGCTACTGTTGTGAA